CATTGTGCCTATGTATTTTTAATATTTTTCAACTAATATTGTTACAATATATCAGGAGCCTTGCGTTATATTTTCACGCTTTTTACCCAACAAAAAAATTTTTATTGATATTTATAGAAAAAAAACTAAGAAAAATGAAAACTGTCAATGTCCGTAAATAGCTCAAAAAGAGGCAAAATATTTTCAAATTTTTTCGGTGTATAAAAAATGAAAACATTCAGCAAAATTTTAAGTTTTGTGATTTTTCCGTATTTTATCAAGATTTGAACTTTAAATGCTTATAAAAAAACTATGACTAAGGATTTTTAATATTTTTCAACTGCTATTGTAACAATATAGCAGGAGCCTTGTATTAAATTTTCAATTTTTTTTACCCAACAAATAAAGTTTTATTGACATTCATATTTTTGGATTTTCTTGAAATTTCAGGGGGGGCTGCAGCCCACCCAGCCACCCCCATAAATACGCCTCTGGTATCAGGGTTTGTTATTGATGTTGATGTATAACGTGTTATAAGTACCTAATGGATATTGTGATAATGTAATATGATTAATTTGGAATTTATTATAGGTCAATTTTTTTTTAATACCATAGATATGTATATAATTTGTCTTAAACCTAGACTGACATACCGTCTTCGCTCAGAATCGTTTTTCTTATACAATGATATTGTATCATTGAATTCAAATTTAATAGCATCCATTATACAGTGACCCACTTGTAACCTACTGTACAGCAGAGCGACATCCACTTACCCACCTTTATATTAGGTAAACCTTATCAGTAATCGTTATACATACTTTTATTTTGGATTGAAATTATACCAACATATTATACATAATTCCAAATTGACTTACTAGACACTAGTTATGTTTTAAAATATAACTTATAAATATTTTATGCTTACTATGGTTTTCAGGTTAACAAGATAATTATTAGCACTACCACAAATTAAGTTCTAACTATTAGGTAATAGGTATTATATGCTATGCTATTATGTGTATATGCAATGCTTCCACTGATATGCTTTTTTTTATCTGATCATTGAATAGACAACGACCGTGGTACCTAGCATACTATATTTACTAACTAATTATCATGGTTTTAATTAGGCTGTAGATTGCCTGTAAGGCTGTAAAGGCGTAGGCTACAAAAATAAGTCCAGGTATAAGTAACTCGTTGACACAATCACTGAACCACCAAACCACCCACCCACCACCTAAATATTATGAGGTAGGGCATCCGCCCTACCTGAATATAGGGTTCGGCGCCACTGAAGATAATTACACCATTCGTCCTTATCTACGATATTTTCTTGGAAATACTCATAATTCCCATCGGTACCCAGATGCGATAGGTAATGTTCAGCTGTATTATTTAATATTTATAATAAGAATTACATAGACGATTATTAAAAAGGAATTTTAAAATGCAAGCTGTTTATTTTATTATGATGGGCATTGGGCAATTTGGCCAAGTACAATACAATTAATTACAGGTACTTAGTACCTACAAATTACAATAAATTTTAGTTTTCCGTTATTATTGATAAAAAATGTACATCACAAATAAATTCTGCCTTAAAGTACGCCAATGACTACCTAAAATCATTCAGTAGGTAGTAGGTACCTATAAGCGTAAAATAGCGTACATTGCTATTTTGTATACCCATTGGCCATTACCTAACGGCTAACGCATAATAATATACAATAATATTATATAGGTAATAAATTGAAAGCATAATTTGTACGAAACTGGTTAACTGGATAGGATTCGACTGACTGCATGGTGTACAAATATTTAGTTAAAAAAACAAACTCAATTAATGGGAAATTTTAAAAACGAAAATAAAAATACGTGAGAATTGGTTCACGCGCATGCGTGAGCCGGGTGTTCACGAAAATTCTGATTGTTTGTCGCCGCCGGCCCTTCAAAACAACTATGAACCGACTGGACTATAATATGACGTACATTATACACGTTTTAGGAGGTACCTATTGTATACGAATTTTTTCTGCCTATACATTATTATTTATTATGTACCGTTCAAACGTGTTCTTAAATTTCACCCCTGCACATAGGGCATTAGGGCCACGACTGAACGGCCGCGGCGGTTCGTACATCGTACGTGGACAACTCGGCGATGTCGAAAATACGAGCAATATAATATTCGAACAGCGTCGTATCGTGACTCGCTTCTATAGCGGAGAGTACGCAATACAACGCGCGGCACCAGCTGCTGTCATCTCCCGCATTTCAATAATATAATATAGATTCTGATTTCCTTGGGAGTCGACCCTGCGTACACCGGTACATTGGATTTACGACATATTGTTTTTACATTTTTCGTATTCGCATACGCTCATACCAAGAGGAAAAAATTCGTCCAGCACTTCTATAGTAGTTCTATATAAAGTATATGGAATAAAGATACCAACAAATTTAAATCGTACCTGCAATATTTTATTTCATATAATATTATATTATAATTAGATATCGAATTATATCATATCCTTTTCATCGACCATTAAAAATTTTAAATTATAATATTAAATTATAGGTACTGTTGTTAAACTTCAATCGCGTCGGTCCCCGCTTTTTATTTTTCACACGATCCCATGGACCGAATAATTCGTTATGTCTAATAAATTAACGTAATATTGTTATGTATATTTTATTTTACCGAAATGTATATTATATTATACGCTGGTTGCTGGTACACCACGACCGCGGTCCACGGCGAACCGCACATAATATTTTATCGAAGTCCCGCACGTATTATTTATTATTTTCCACGTCGTTTTATTATAATATATATTATTATATCTAAATGAGCGCAGAGCGGCGAATGTCAGTTAGTGACGCCATGTTATTATAATCGTTATTCGTTTTTTGTTACGAGTTTACGAATACGACGACGCGCGCGGGCCTCTGGTACAAATAATACAAGCAGACGCGTCAAGCACTCTTCGAGTTTTTACAACTTCCCCGGCACGCGGTGGTCTGGTTTATATTCTCTTTGGAAAATCAATGTGGCGGCGACGCGCGTAGGCGGCAATGCGGCATCGGAGGCGGCAATGGCGGAGCCGGATCGCCGGAACCGTTAAACTCGTAATATTATTATATAATACAAATATACGTTGTCCTAATTGTTTTTTTCTTTCACAACATTGTAATACATATTTTATTGCATACGGTACAATTTATTCGGCTCCTGGTCCTGTCTAAAAATCGCCATTTTATATAGTGTATATACGACGTGCAACACTCGCTCTCTCTCACACACACACACACACACACACACGCACACACACACACACTTAAACAATAAGGGCGGTTTAGTTTACTGTTCATTGTTTAATATAATTTTAATAATAATAATAATATAAAGGACGGACGTATATAATAACTATATTAATATGTAGGGATAATTAATGAAGCCGTGTGTGTACCAATTTTTAAGCGCGGGAAAGGGTATTTTAAATTAACAGTAACGGCCATTAGCGAAAATCTTGACGAAAAATTTTGTATTTTTCTCGGATCTCGATCGTGGTGGTCGTACAAGAACTGACTGTAACTCTCAGCTGACGTCCAAGGTGAAAACTCTCGAACGCGCGCAAAAAAATATTTCGAATTTCGAATAAATAAGTACGTACTCGGTACGGTCTGTATACCCGAACGCCACCCACCCGCCAACCATAGCCGAAGAGTGTTTACGTCCGACCAAGGCACTAATGCACTATTATACTATTGAAGTGCGGCGGCGCCCCCCGCGAGACTATCGTGGTTACCGTACTATTTTACGCACACGTAATAATTGCCAATTGGTAAATTATGATATTGCATAGACAAACTAATATGTTCATCGGTCTTGTGCTTGAAAGTTAAAAATCCATCGATCATTGTTATTATTATTATTGGGCTGTGCGGTTTGTCTTTAGACTGAATTTGAAAATGTACCCCGATGTACCTATATAAAATATATATTTATATAATTTTTATAAAAATATGTAATATTATATAAGAAGCTGTAGAATAAAGCGATTACAGTAAAATGACGACAGAGTGTGTAGAAAACACGAAACACGTTTTATAACAATAATACAAAACGACAATGTGTTGCGTTTGCCGAAAGTCGTGCCGGTACGACGTGTATAATTAAAAACGAATTTTTCGTTGATGCGAACATGCGATGGAAAAAAAATTTATAGTAATAAGTAGGTAATAACTAATATGAGTACCCAATCGGCCCGCGACGACTGTTAGATTATAATACACATATCGTCTGCATAATAATTAATATAATATTATTGAAATTACAGAATTACGGTGTGTGATAAATTATTGTTGTTTCCGAAATTGGTTCAATGTTTTGAATTCGTATAAAAACACCGTCCGCCAGCACATCGTGTTTTTTTTTTGTTCGATATTAACGCTTGAAGCATCCGCGGGGCTGCGCTCTCGATTGCTTTAATCTCAACACCATTACCGCGGGCCTCCGGTTTTAATCTCAAACCCCTCTCGATTTTTCTCGGATTTCGTCTGTGATTAATTTAAAAACAAAAAAAAAGCATCGACACGTCAAGAAAAAAATATAAAAAATTTAGCAACCATCTCCGGGGTTTTAAACGGCCGGTGACCGGTGAAAACGGACTTTGGAAAATCGGCGACGTCCAGCCCCACCAGCACGCGCCATCTTCACAAACAAAGAACGCCGCTCGCTTGGGCCGTATTCGCTGTGCGTTTGTCCGATCGTCCGTGTGCTCTGTCCGCTTCCCGTGCCGACCCGCGTGCATAACATTCGGTTTTTATTCGTTTTCACGATTATTTCCGTCCGCAAGTCCGTGTGACTAGGTTTTCTATCCGCAACAAGCACACGCACTCCGCACCGGTGCGTTATTCTCGTCGATTTTCCAAACGTCGCGAATCCCCGTCCAGTAGTACGTTTTTTGAAATTTTTTTTTAAAGATTTTTTTATTTTCAAAACCAAAAACCCCAAAATGAGTACGAAAGAAGCCAAGAACGACGTCGCCGTAGACAAAATCGCCGACGATGTTGTGGACGCCAAGGCCGACCTTAAGGGCACCAAAAGAACAGCAGACGTAAGTAGTTCGACAGTTTTTAATTTTTTTGTTATATAATATACATACTTAGGTTTGTATTTAACCCAGTGGCGTTCCCGGTCGCCGGTCGTTACAACAACAATAACAACAATATTGTTCGATAGGGTGACATAGAGACTCGTCTATATATATATATATATTCAACAAATTCGCGCGTACCCGGCAGATCCCGCGCGTCCGTTACGCGCGCGTTTTACCCGATTTTCGAAATATCGCGCGGGCCGCCGCAACCGTCTCCGCGTTGCCGGTTACCGGCGACCGCCGCCGCCGCCGCGATTACAAAACGCACCACATGCCCGCCATTTTTAACCCCCGGTCTTATACAAGCGTGCGTGCTGATTTTTTTTCATCGCGTCCTTTACTTCTTTGGCTATACCGCACTTAAGTGTGGCCACTCGACATTTTCTCGTTCGTTAATATTTCGAACACTATTTTCTCATTCGATCCGATCGTTGTATTGAAATCATTATAATTTTTTCATATCTCTATTTTTATCGTCCGCCGAGTGGTTTATTGTTCCGATAATACCGTTCAGGAAACTTCGGTCGTCGTCGCCGCCATCATCATCGCCTCGATTATCACCTTCACCAATCACCTCGGCTTGTCGTAGGTATTCCTACATTCGGCGACGCCGTGCGTTGTTTGTTTCCGGCACACCGACGGTTGTTTACCCGGTCTCTTTTTAACCCCCCTCCCGCCATCCAACCGTAAGCACACCCGCCCGGCCACCCGCTCGCCCGGTCTATCGTGTCGGCGTCGGAACAGCGGTGCGGCACCCCCGCCATAGTAGCCGCCACCGCCGCCGTACTCGTTTTCTCGTACTAGAAATTGACCACAAAACACCGTGTAATTACACGCGCTGCACACACGCGTTAAACTCGCGTCTTTGGTTATTATTATATTATTAATATAGTACTCATTATTGAGGCTCGTCGTACGGTTATTATTGTTCTAATAACCTGAAGACTGCCTTTTTTCACATTATCCTAAAAAAAAATTGGTTCTCGATCCGAGTACCGACCGCACACTGCTTGAACGCGCCGCTGTAGCCGCTTTTCCGTAACGGATGGCAGACGTTGGCGTTGTGTTCCGTCGGATCGGCTGGCGGGGGAACCGGCCGACCGTCGTCTGGGACGCGTGTTTTCCGCGCGTTACGAATACGCCGAGAACAAGGTGACGGACGCGTTACTGATCCATCTCGGCCATCGCCCTGTTGTTGGTGAGGTCAGTAGGGGGGAATTATTGTTTTAATTTTATAAAAATATATATTTATATCCACCCGATATTATTATTGCGAGGCGGTGTCTTGACGCGGACCCGAAGACCGGCGACGTTTAGTTGCTTCTTTCACACTTTATAATATTCGCGCACGTCCCGATTTGACGACGCCATTTTTCAGCACGGAATGACGTAATGTAACGTCACCTAAGTGCCTGCATTCTAAAAATTCTACAATAACGGCTTAACGATTATTATAGTCTGATATTAAACAAAATGACACAAAATTATTATTATATTTATCTCTGTGACTTTGTTATGTAACACGTGAGTAAAATAACTAATCGCTATGTGTGGTAAATTATAGGAAAAATTAGAAGAAGTGAAAAAATTGAAAAAAGAAGAAAATGGTGAGGAAGACCTAGATGAAGAAGATGAACCGGAAGGCGAAGAAGACGAGGAAGAAGAATTCGCCGAAGGTGAAGATGATCTAGATGAAGCTGACGGTATGTTACTTACACAACACATTCCTAATAATCTAGTTTTTTCACAACACTATTTTCACAGGTTGTTCAGAAGATGATGAAGATGATGTAGACGGTGTAGAAGAAGAAGATGATGTGTAAACTGACATAATGTACAATTGAACAAGTCTCTTAATTTTATATAATTTATACATAGTGCCGCATGTACTCGGTAACTCCGTTCGATAGAATTTGATTCCAAAAATGTAATTTTTTTTTTTATACATAATATGTAAAACAAAGCTTTTTTGCTACTGAGTGACTAAGACAAAATTGGATTTTTTTTTTAAATTTTAAACACGATATTCCTACTAATTTGTCTTGTGTACATGTTCTAAGTCTCTAGTCACTCACTATCATTCAAGTTTTGAGCATGTACTTGTGAAAAAAAGTTTCTAAACTTTAGGTAACACTTGACTGGAATACTTAAACTAACTCGACCACCGACTATTTACATAATGGTTTTTTTTTTAATAACAGGATTATAAATGCAATAATTTCATTTTTTTTTAAATAAATTTAATACTACTTAAGTATAAGTAATTAATATAAATAATATTTACAAAATAAAAATTGAAATACTGAATTGTAATTTAGTTCATAGGTTTGTCTTCTAAAAATATATATATAAATATTATATATTATCGTTTAAAATTTAAGCTACTTTTGTATAAACATTTTGATTAAATTATAAGATAATCAAATAAGTACCTCGTGTTGGTTTTTTTATTTTGTATTCTCGGTGTGTTTCAAAGTTTAGGAAATTTTTTTTTTTGTTTCTCATTCCAACTAAAGAATTTTTTAAGAACTTTTTAGCCACTGAAAATATGTTTTAAGTTTATGTTTAACATTGAATAAAAAAAGAAATTGTAATGTCAATTTATTTTACCCCATTTAACTATTTAAGTAAAATAAGTATATATAATATGATATAATTTAATATATATATAATATACACACCCACATCAATGTTTTGTTGTTTAGACAGTATTGTAGTTGACAATTTATTGTTGTAAATAATTCTAGTACAAAATAATGTTTGGATTGTTAATATTCTTAATACATATTGTCAGTTGCTACAGCTCAGCATTTAGTTTTTATTTACTATAAAATTACTGATTTTTAAGTAATACAATATTAGCTGTTTTATATACTAAATGGTCATTTGTGGCCTATGGTGAAAACAGCTTTACATATTGTGTCCTGTTTCCATATTTTTAACCAGTTACTCTATCTCCGTTGTGAGTAACAAAACAAATTAAAATTTAATATTTTTTAATGATAATTATTGTCTTGTGAATAATTTTTCAAAACTGTATATGTAATTGTCATTTGACTCTAATAAATTTCCTATTCAAATAAATGGTAAAACAATATCTACCGAGTACTTGGATGTGTATTAGTTGACTTGGTATTAAATTAATCATAATTATTGTAAGATTTATCATGTTAATTCTTAAACATTTTTAAAATAAGAATGTTAGGTGTATAGAGTTCAATATTGAACTATTATTATGACTGATGTTCAAATAAAAGTACTAAATAGTAACAATTGCCATTTATTTGTATCCATTAAATTCATTATTATAAGGTATTTATTAACATAATTTGATAAATCAGGAAAATAAATATAACTAAGTTCTATTGTAATATAAAGAGTACAGAGGAAAGAACTTAAAAGAAATAGCTAAAAATAAAAAGCAAAAAAAATAATTGATATAAATTGAATAGTTCCAGTTAAAGATTTAATGTAATTAAATAGTGGTAAAAAGTAAATAAAAAATAATTAGTATTTCATTATTGATGTCTGTATATTTGCAACGATAGTTTTCAAGTGAAATGTCACATCTGTAATTAAAAAAATTATATTAACAATTTTTTTTTTAATACAAAAATGTATAATTTAGTGTTTAAACATACCGTACATACGATTCTTTTTAAAGGGTAACAACGGCTCGATATCGATAAAGACAAAAAATATAGTTTCATTATCCTAATTATTATTAAAATTAGATTAATCTCCTTCCGTAAATATGCTACGAAGATCAACTCATGAATTAGCAATTTGTTTCATCAAATACCTGATACTATTTAGGTAGTAGGTACCTATTGGAATGGTCATATATTGTTTTAATTTATATTATAATCGTATACTAATACTTCAACATATGGTTAAACGCATTGTTAATATGTTTTTGAGAAATCCTTGAGTAAAATTTACCTACTCGTTACAACAATTTTCGTGAATAATACATTTTTCATTAATTTGACTGAAAGCGTATATTTTAATAAAATATTCCTAGAAATATAGGCTAATATGCACTTGGAAATTGTAATGGATTTCGTAGCCCATAGGTACGCAATGAGTTATTAACTGTCTTTGAATTCAAATTTAACGCATCTATTTCAGCGACCTTATCAATGACGACTGACGAGGTAGTAGACAGTAGTTACACAGGTTCACTCAACTCCTACTGTACAGAAGAGAGGTTTGTGGTTACCTACTTCCCCATTATTTATCATAATATATAGGTACACAGTGCTTGAATTTTTCAAAAATATTTTAGTGTAGTCCTAATTGAATCCTAAATCCTAATCAATAAGAAATATAAATTTTCGGGTACACGTATTTTTTAAATACTTTTGTATCCCCCTTATATTTTATTTCTAATTCAAGTACTGTATACCACTATAATGTTGCATAATAATATTATGTATAATATTTTATAACAATATGAAAATCTTGAAAGAAGTTAAATAAAAAGGTAATAATTATTAGTGAATATTGATTAATGATTATCTACTTACTTGAACGTTATAGAGATATTTTTTAACTGTGGCTAAAGATTCTCTGACTTGTAAACTTGCTATTTTTTCAGCCATCATTATATCCAAACTTTTCTCTTCTAAACATTTCTTTAAATCTCGAATTTCATTTCTTAAATTAACTTCTGTGCCTGAGAATTAAAAACCTATATTAATTTATAACAATATAAACATAATAATATACAATATTATATTTTTAGACATACCTGCCATGCGTGCGATTTTCGAATCGTATTTCTCTTTTATATCTTCAATCTCATTTTGGTGTTGGAATAGAATAACTTCTTTTTCTTGAATCAAACTTTCAGTCACCGTTGCTTTGTATTCAATATCTTTAAGATGCTTGTTTTTGGCTATGCAATAGTTTCTTATCTTAGACTGTTGCTGGTTGGCGTTTTGCATGTTGTACAACACTTTCTCATAACCGACTATACTATTTTGCCAGTTACTAATATTGTCTAGTAGTATGTCCATTTGCTGTTTTAATTCGTTGTCGGATATCAACGAAGGCGACTGTGACATTGCTCGGTGCTGCTGCTGCTGTTTACTTTGGGCTTTTAATATTTCTTTTATGGTTTTATTGTTAGTTTTTAATGTAATAACCTCGCGTTTTAAATTTTCGATACAGTCTTCTGCTTTTATTTGATGTTTCAAATCATTACACTCATTTTGTACCAATGCGATATTGATTTCTTTTTTGTTAAGACAGCTCGTAAATTCATCCATCATTTGTTGCGTGAAAGTTTGGTTTTCCTGACATTTTTCTTTTTCTTTATTATACTTTGCAGTCACGAGTTCAAGTTTATTGGTCTGTTCTATTAAATTCGATTGAAGCGTTTTAATTAGGTTATCGTTATCGAAACGTTTCATACTACTCTTAGTCAATAGTTGTCGGTGTTCGTTGAGCGACTTTATTAAGTATGGATATTTCTTATTTAGCTCATCGCACATTAATTGCATTTGCGAAAAATCTTCTTTGAGTTTCTTATGTTTGACTTCTTTGCTAATTAAAATTTTTTGGATCTGTTTTTTGTGTTCAAATTCAGAATTTAGTTTAGCGTTCTCGTTTTCCAAATGTTTCTGCCATTTTTTGTGATCGTTAATTTCTTTTAGTAGTTGTTGATTCTTATCTTCTACATTTCTAATTAAACGTCTATTAATTGTTTTTAAATCTTCTTCTTTATCGATTGCCAATCTCACAAACATATTGATTAAGTCACATAATTGGTGGTTTTCGGATTCGAAGTAGGTAGATCCTTGAATTTGATTGATCTGTTCTGCTATCAACATTTTGCCTTCGTACAATTCGTCATTATTTTGAGGACAATCAAATGCGTCATGGACGTTTTGATCGATCAATTTTTCGGGAAACTCTGACAAATTTTTATGCAATAATTGAAATTTGTTTTTTTTTTTTCATTTATCAAACATAACTCATCTTTCAACTGTGATATTTTGAGATCTTTAATATATAGTTTTTCTTTTAACTTCTCTAAGCTTTGTAGAACTTCATCATAATTATTTAACGTTTTAACGCGTATGTTCATCAGTTGCTTATTTATAATGTACTTCAACTTATCGTTTTCTGTCAGAATGTAATGATATTCATTTTCACGTGCAGCTAATGCAACGCAAAAATTAGTCAAATGCATAACATCTTCCTTGTCATTGAACCTACGACCTAATGCTAAACAAAGATTATATTTTATTTTATCCATTTCAGAATTAAGCCTACTGCATTCTTTAACTGCCCAGTCATAATTTTTATATTTATTCTGTAAAATGCTGTTCCTGGTTCGTAATTTTTTGTTATTTTTTTCAGATTCACTCATAGCAATACACGCTAATCCTATCATTTTGTCCAGATTAATAACATCGTTATCACTCATAGCGTATTCGCCGTTTACAATTTTGGTCATAAGTTTTTCTTTAAACGTTTTAAAAATATCTTCGTAAGAAATATTCAATTTGTGCAAGACTATTGTTTCAGTGTTTAATAAATTTTCAAATGAATTGAGATTCGTAGTTATACTAATTCGAGGCATATAGTCCAAGACCACAATTTTATTTTCTGATATATCTGATGATGGTTCCGTTCCATCAGGTAGGTAATTCAACGTTATTTCCTATTTTTCAAAATTAAAAAAAAAAAATTGTATTGTATTTTTGTTATGTGTTATTTTATGCGCATGTATGTTATATATTTTTAATTCAATGACCTAATAAATGAATAAGTAGATTTATTTAAAAATAATGAGTTTACTTATTAGCAATCAAATTAATTTAACTGATAATTTTTTTTAAATACTAACCTCGTCCTTTTTGTTTCCATCATTATTTGCTGATTGATTACTAGTGTTGGTTTGTTGGAAATAATCAGACATTTTTTTTGCTAAAACAAACAAATTATTAACCTAGGTATTTAAAATAATATATTTATATACCTAATATAATATTAATATAGGTATAGGTACTCAATAAATTACAACAGAAAAACAATTATTATACATGTATATAGGTACCTATTATAAACTTTAATCGACTTTGTATTTACATTAGATATATATAGAAACAAATTATCGTATCAATTAATAAGTCGAGAATAACCGTTTAATGATCACCTAGACGTTAGTACTGATAAATTTGCATACCTAATCAAATCATAATTTATTTCTAAACGTTTGTAGCCATTATACTTGCAGGCTAGGCTTTAGTTGTTAGGAAATAATTGTCTGACATACATAGTAGGTACACTCATACAGTCATACAGACATACAGTATGAATATAAATGCATAATATTATGTAAAGTTCTAATTTCGTTTACCTTTTGGCTTTATTTTAATGTTCAGATTAGATCCGGAATGTATTTCAGTATCGCTCGTTGAAAAATGATTTGTCGCGAACGGATGAGACGATGAGCGAGTAAGAGTTAAATTGTTATACCTTACCTACTACCTAGCCATAGACTTAATTATTGCATGGTCATCATACGATTAATCGACAAATTTTCTTTCTATTTCGATAACCGACATAGATTTAATACAAGCGAGGGAAAATTCCATGGCATTACCTAATTAGTAATTACCTATGGCGGCAGTCGTGGTCAGTTTTTTCCTCCATGATTCGTGAAAGTTTGGTATACCACTCTACTAGGTATATACTCCGCATAGTCAGAATCACGGACTAAGATATAATGGGCTGGAAACGATCAGCTTATCAGTGGCCTCGAGAGTATGTACAAGAAGCAAATGCGGGGGGTCGCAACCATAATTGAGAGTTTACAGCTCCATCTGTATAAAACACGGACTGAAATACAAAATGTGGCGCTAAATAAAACCACTGGTAGCTCTGAAAACATTCGATTACGAGTGTTGATGATAACAGAGGAACCTTCTGCAGGCCGTCCCCCGTCACCCGCCCACCTTGTCGTTTCCAGTCCATTATATCTTAGTCCGTGGTCAGAATCATTACAGCATTTTTGTCATTTTTAGAATATGCATAATATGAATATTATTACCACGAACTAAGATATAATAAGAATTCGATTTTTATTCACTACACTTTGGTTTTCCCATGATGATTTCAAATTTTCGTGTTGGGCTTTTTCCTTTTTCAGTAGGTAATTCAAAAGCCGGCACCCAGAAAGCGTTGAGATTTTATAACTCGTTGTATTGAACTTATTGGAGAATATTGAGTAACCTAGGTACTTTTGGGCTTTGGCTATTATATAATTTATTGGTAGAGACTGGTTGTTTTTGTACCTTGTCCATTTTTTTTCCAAGGATTATTTGTGTCTTAATATCAGATATGAAATATTCGATAGCATGGACAGCCTGGATACTATAGGGGGTGTACTTTAGGGTGAATAATAACTTCTTATACTTGAGTAGTAGGTAAACGGTAAACAATTACATAGGTACGTTAATTTCTACAGATGTCAGATTATATGTGTAAGTTAATCCCCCAATATATAGGTAAATGAGATGTGTATCTATATACTATATTATGTTCCACACGATGAAAAAAATGGTGTTTCTAAGTTCCGACACGAAAAAGAAAATTACTTACGTTAGTTCTTACTCCGCAATCATACATACAATTTTTATCACCAACACATTTTTCACATATTTTTTAGGACGCACCGTAGCTCCGCATGAATAAAAATATTTTGTGAATCCGTAACTCCGCATGCACCGTATCTCCGCACGGTCGAAAACACGAACGCACCGTATCTCCGCACGGTCGAAAAAACGAACGCACCGTTACTCCGCATTCTAAAAATATTTCAAACACCAAAAGTCCACATGTCATAAAACTGATATAATATAAAATTGATAACATATTATTATAGGTAATAACTTATAACCAATATATTTATTTCCCCTGGTATCCAACGTTTACGGGACGAATTCATATTTTTAACACCAAAAGTTCCCATGCCTATATCGGTGTAAAACCATGTTGAAATTAAACTTTTATAACTGCAAAGCAATATCTTATTATTATTGTGTACCGATTAATTTCTCGTGTCTTTGTAACTCAACGAATTGACAGTGATCACTGATCAGTTGTCTATCAGGTTTAGATTACAAATTTATTTTATAAAGTTTTACTTTTACATTAAAAAATGGCAAGTGAAATAAGTTTTATATACAGTCAACGAAAAAATGTGCTGTTACTGAAAAATAATTATAAATATTCCAAGTATACAGAACTAAAATCAGGCGAAACTGGATGGAAATGCATACAAAAAACATGTAAAGCAAAATTATACACAATTGGAGTTGATAATAATTTTTCGAGAGAAGCAGGTACACATGAACACGAAAATATCGAGACCAATATTATTGTTCGACAAACAATTAGTAATGGTATAAAACGAAAGGGACTTGATTATATTACTGATCGTCCCTCCAAGTTAATAAAACTTGAAATAGCTTCTAATGTAGTAGCAGATTTTGAAACAGCAATTCATTCAAGTGTGAAAGATATATTTCCTAATATAAATATAATTGGATGCCGTTTTCATCTTAGTCAATCATGGTACGTATAGATAATATATTTGTAGGTATAACTTATACTTATTAATTATTTTTAATTTGTTAATAGGTGGAGACGAATACGAGCAGTTGGTCTTATTCAAGAATATAAAAACAACGAATCCAACATAGGAAAATGGCTCAGACAATTATTTGGTCTTATGTATCTGGATCCTAATGAAGTTGAACCATGTTTTGAAAATGACTTTAAAAATGACCAACCCAAAGATGCACGAATTAAAAAAATTATTACTTACTTAGAAAAAACATACATAACAAACGATGCAACATTTCCACCCAGTATTTGGGCCAAAAAAGAAGCAACGTTGGAGAGAACTACAAACAACTGTGAGTCTTTTCACGCCAAATTTGGTGATTTATTTACATCAGCACATCCAAATATTGCTGTATTCATTAAAAATATATTAGCTATGCAGACGGATTCTTATATAAGAATGAATTCTGCTAATAATAACGAAAGTAGGATAATTAGAAGTAAACAAAAAAATAATATACAATTTATAAATAGAAAAATCGAATTATATAATAACAACCAAATAGATAGATATAGTTTTGTAAAAAGTTTGGCTTCGTTTAATAATATTTTATTTTAATTTATTTTACCTATTTTTTTTGTATGCATTAATTATTATTAATTTTATATTTTATAATTACCTAGTATTACCTGCAGTCTAATATTGTTTTTATTTAACTTTAATAACATGTATTGTATTTTGTATTTAAACATTAAAAAAAATTATGTGCGGAGTTACAGTGTTAAAAAAAAATATTTTATGCGGAGTTAGGGTGTTATAAAAAAACTTCGTATGCGGAGTTAAGGTGATATATTTCAAAATGGCCACGATGCATGCGGAGTTACGGCGCACCGATTTTTTAAATTATTGAAATTCTCAAACTTTTACAAATAATTATAATATACATACACTAGTTAAAAATCATAAATAGTAACATGAAAATAAAATCAATAAAAAATAATCTGAAATAGAAATTGTTAAAAATGACAACATTTTAGTCAATAAACAAAATTAATCAATACCTTCGGACAACTATTATGTTAAATATTTAAGTTTCCGAAGTAAACCTTGTTAAATATAATTACATTTTTTTACAATTATTTTTTTATGAAATATATTGACATTTTTAAAGTTTTTTTTAAGACATTAACACACATTTGATTACATTAACTAATATATAAAGTATACTAGTTATCTATTATATATTTATTTATAATTATTAACATAAATATGTTTTTTGGTTGGATACAAGTTTTTTGTTTCTGACCAATTTTTCATAAGGTTTTCGTTGTCATGGTTATATACTTATTAACAAAAACATATTAATGATTAAAAAATTTTCCTTGTAAAGGAAAAATATCGAGTAGCATACTATGGGTTTTTTATTACCTATAATTTTTGTTAAGCCATTAGGTTATTAACTATTAAGCTGATGTTTGACTACATTTTAACATATGAATATATTATTCTAATATTCTATTTTATTATAAAAATAATAAGTTAAATAATTTAACAATATATAAATATTATTTCAATTATTACAGATAATCGATTAGTGTAGGAACTTTCATTCGCCCAATAATTTTTAGTATATACCTAGGTATGTAACTACAACCTACTATAGATTTATATACGAATTGTTATGTTGAGTTGGTATATCTAGGTACCTTTTTTACCGTAAAATTATTTATTTATAATATATATATAATATATATATATTGTTATAGCTAATACTTACAATATTATAATGTGTATCCATTGATAACCGCAACAGATATTAAATTAAAATAGACTTAAGTAAGGGAAGGTAGTTTAAAAGAAATTAATTATGTTAGGTAACTATATTATAATGTTTCCATAAATCTATACTTAGTATATTATTTATTATATTTTATTGATAGGAACTTAAATAAATAAATAAGTAAATTTAGACTATAATTATACATATAGTTAATGTTTTTGTTTTACAAATAATATTTGTTTTTACTATAAACATGTTTTAGCGTTTAATTTACAATTGGAGGCATAGTATATTTAATTTAAATTTGATAGATTAAATAATAATATGTACGTATGTAAAATGTATTGATAGGTTCGTTGTCCTTTTATTAATATTAAATTAAGTAATATTTGACTAGTATTTGGGTAACTTTCATTTGGCACAAAATCATATTCTTAAAAAACATCACACAACTTGTGCTTGTTGCTGTTCTGGATCAAATATAAAATCTTTCATCGTTACATATGCCATTCCAATTTCGTTAACAGGTTTAGGAATTTCATATTTCACTTCTCCCTCTGTATTTTCA